TTTTAGTTCTAGTTTTAGTAATAATAAATTTGTCAAAAATAAATCAAAACTATCCTCTTTATAGTTGTAATTTCGAATTTTAGTAATATATGTTTAGGGGATTGAAATGTGAGAAAAAAGTCTCTAGAATTTCAAATTTCGGGATGTTTTTTGTTTGCTATTTTTGACAGGGTCTTGTCCCTGATAGAAAACCAGAAAATAGATATTGTAGTTTACCAAATTTTATTTTATTTGTATTTTTTCAGTTGCTATTCTAATACAAACACATGTTCTTAATCATCCTATAGCATAAATTAATAATGAATACTTCATCCCCCAACTTAAAAATGACATTGTTCTCAATGACACAGAAAGTTCAAAATAGAATATGTAGAAAATATAATTTTCAAGTGAAGCATGCATATGTACAAAGTTAAGCATTAAAAATATTTTCATAAATGATAAAGCTCAAAAAGACATCACCTCAACCTCATTTTTAATTTTCCACTTCATCTTACACTTCTCTTGCACTTTTTTTAAAAAATAAATACATAAACAAATACTACAAAATTCTAAGAAAAATAGAGCTTAGAAAAAAAATCAAGCAAAATGAAATAAAAACCATGGGTTGCGTCTCATGCAACACTGAATTTAATGTCTTTAGCTGGACAACTCTTAGATCATATAAGATGATCTATGGCCATCAAAATATATTTGTATCCCAAGGTAAGTTTCATGATATTCTTTTTCAGATTTAGCATAAATTCATATACTTTATATATACCTTGACATACTTTTAGTCAAAACAAAATAGAAATTAACAAAAAATTATCAAAAATAATATTTTTATTTAAAAAAAAATCTTTCCTCATTTCTATCTTGTTTTGTAAGACTCTCATTCATTAATAAATACTTTCTATTAATAGATCATAAAATATGATTAGGCCATATAATTTTCAAATTAGCTCTTACACAATCTAAATTTTTTTCATCTAAATTGATATATCTAATTCTTCCACTCATCAATTTCTTAATGTGTTCTTTTATCTGCATAATCTTCCCCTACTCCATTTTATCTTTCATACATATTTATTCAATTTGCGAGGAGTGAAATATTTCAAGCTTAGAAATAATTCTAATAGGCTATGGGTTTTGAAGGATTGAAGGATTGAAGGATTGTCTTCTTTAATCTCAGATCTAATAAATTCAGTAAAATTCAAATTTGCTCCTCCAAAATTATCTCTATATTCATATTCATTATTTTCGTTTCTCCTCATTAGTTGAATCAACTCTTTTTCTAACTTTTCGTTTCTCAACTCATCAAATTCTTCATCTTCCCAAGAGTTATTTTTTAATTTTAGTATATGATATACATCATCATCTTCACTACCAACATCCATGGTTGTAAAATTATGATTAGATTTATTAATTTCGTCTCCTACATCTCCCAAATCAATTGATTTTTCCTTACCTAAAATAGATTTTTCTTCATTTCTGTCCTTAGTCCCTTCTACTTAAATTTGGATGATTTTTCCATAATCAGCTGCTCCAAAATTTGCTCTTTCTTCATCTAGGTTTCTTTTTACTCATCATCTTCACTATATTTATTCATCAATTGTGAGCAATAAATGATTTTATTCAATTTTTCTACTACTATATTTTCGACCTTACTCCCTTCTACTTAAATTCAAATTTGCTCCTCCAAAATTACTCTTTCTTCATCTAGGTCTCTTTTTTCTCATCATCTTCACTATATTTATTCATCAATTGTGAGCAATAAATGATTTTATTCAATTTTTCTACTACTATATTTTCGATCTTAATATTCTCATTTACTTCTAATGGATCATCAATTTCTTCTAATAATTAGAAATAAGGATCAATATATTTACTGTCATAACATTTTCATTTTGTGGGTTTTTTTTAGATTCATGCTACTAGACTCCCCTTGCTGCAATCCTATTGTTGGACGGTTCCCTAGATTTTCTATAGGCTGATTAGGTAATTGTCTCTCTTCTCTCTTATTCCAAGAGCCTCTATAATTTATTTCTGATGCAACATCATTTGGTTCATAGTTTGTTGCATCATTTGGCTCATTTGCTACATCATTTCCATAGCATCAGGTTGGATTTGAGAGGACCGATTTTTCTAAAATCTATGTTCTTGTTTTGAACGAAATTTAAAATTTGAATTAGATCTAAGTGCTTTTAGATTTTGAATATTATTTGGGTTTCTCCACGAAAAATTATTCCTCCAATTAGGATTATAAGAATTAGAAAAATATTTCTTATTTTTACTAAAATCGTGGGATACCTGCACTTGTTCTTGCCTATGATGATATTGAAATTTTAAATGATCATTTTTACCATACATAGGACATGTACTACTTGAATTAAATTGAGGGTTAAGAGGCTTTCTAATATTGTCAATAAGTAAATCAAGTTTTTCTAATCTTTCATTAATCTGATTAACCTCATTTGTAAATTTAGAATCATCATCATGATGCAATTCATAAATTCTTCTCTTCTTATCCCTATCATATAATTCAAAAGAAACTTAATCTCTAAAATTTTCACTTAAATTCTCATAAAGACTATAAATCTCATCAGAAGTTTTCTCCATAAAAGTTCCTCCACATATAGAATCAATCATATTTCTATGTTGTTCTAATAATCTATTATAAAAAGTTCTATTGAGTTGCCACTTAGGTATAGCATGATGAGGACACTTATTAAGTAAATGTTTGAATGTTTCCCATGTCTCATGTAAAGTTTCTTCTGATCTTTGAGGAAAACTTCATATATGTTTTCTCAAGTTTTGAGTTTTTCTTAAGGAATAAAATTTTCGAAGAAAAGCCTATTCTATGTCTTTCTCTATCTAATGTGAATAGCTAATGGCTAGCTTTGTCTCTAAGTATATGAAGAAATAATTTCATCTTAATAATTTTTGGTGTAACTTGAGGGAGATTAACTAAATCACAGACCATATGAAATTTTTCCAAGTGCTAATGAGATTCCTCTAAAGGCAATCCATGAAAATTAGGGAGCATTTGAAAAATTCCTAGATTTATTTTGAATTTAAAAGTGGGTGCTAATGGGACTTTAATATTGGATGCTCTTTGAAATGAATCAGAGATATAATAATTTTTCACGGCCATAAGGTTATTCTCAGTTTGACCTCTACTTCCTTCAAGATCCATCAAAATTAATTTTTCTTTCTGATTTTTAGTTTTGAATGAAATAATGAAAGGATTTTCTAGCCTTGGATGCAAGGATCTTCTACCATGCATAAAAAAATCAATAAATTAGACATAAAAGTTTAGTAATTATTACCCTCCTTTAGTATGCTCCAGTCCTTGCCTTGCTTCTCTTTGTTCCCTTTAAAAAAAAAAAAATGGCAAAAATAAAATAAAATAAGAGTTGAATTTTTTGTGTACTCTAAGAGAAAAATAGAGAAATACTAAATATTATGCAATACATCCATTGCTCTTAGCAATGGTGCCAAAATTTGACGTGACTTAGTCATCTTACTGTAAATCACATAAATTTAAAATTTAAAATTTTCGATCTTAATATTCTCATTTACTTCTAATGGATCATCAAAATTATTTTAAGATAATTAATTTTAAATAATTATGCATGAAATATTTTTTATGTGAGTTTTAGGATTTTCTAAATTTTATCCTGGATTTTTTGAAATTTTCTAGAATTTCTCATAATTTCTAAGAGGTTTTGATATAAAGGTCTAAAATAAAAGAAAATCAGAATGAGTTGGGCTGGGCCGAGCCAAGTGACCCAATGGGCCGGAATATTCAGAGGCTAAAAGTTAAACCATCAACAGGTCGACAGTGGAAGCAGAACCGACGAGTTGGCATGACACTTAAGCAGATGTGGGACACGTGGCCCACACGGGTTCGACGACATTTCAACGGACATCGTGAACAGAAATTGGCACAATTTACGTCAGACCTCAAAGAGAAATGTAATTGGAGATCCGTACCTAATGGCAGAACGTGAAAGAAGAGCGGGTGATAGAGTAAGGCTGTCATTGATCTCTCTTTCTTTCGCGCCTTTTCTCGCTCCCTTTGTCTGTCTGCTCTCTCTCACTCTATCTTGCTCTCGCTTTCTTTCTGTGGATGCGTCCTCGCTCTACGAAGCACGGCGGAGTTCGGACAGCCTGCCGCCTTCTCCTCTCCTCTCCGTCGAGTTCTTCTGGAACCCTTTCTCGTGCGCGAATCCGGAGGAAGAGTGGGAGGCCGCATCCGGCGGAGGAGTCCACCGCCGAAGACGCCGAGGTCACGGTCGGCGCCGCCTCACGGAGAGGTCGTACGTTCCCAGGCTTCTGCTTCCCTGAAAGGCCGCTCCGGGTATGTTCTAGTGCCGTCTTTCGACGAATTCTCGCCTTTCGTTGATTCGGGGGTTATGTTCTAGTGCCGTCTTTCGATGGGTTCGTGATTTTCTGTGTCGGGGGCATCTTCTTGTGGACTCTTTGGATGGGATCTTTATTTTCTTTGATTTGGACTTTCGGTTGCCTGCGGTGGTGCGGGTGGTGCGAGATTGCTGAAGAAAGCTCTGGCTTTCCTCCTTCCTCTTATTTATTTACCTTCTTCCGATTTGTTTTGCCGCTTCGTTGCTGATTCGATTTGATGTTTGGTCTGGGTAGGGGGATCTATCTTCTTCTTTAGACTTCCATCCGATTGCTCTTTGGGGACGGATGAGTGTTACCGTCTGGAGGAGAAAAGATTATTTCAGCAAGGTTTATCGATTGACGGTGACGGGTGAGCGTGTTGAATCAAGGGGCACATTCGATTTTCGGATCGCTGAGCGATCGACCAGTTTCTGGAGAAGAACCCGGTGATTTCCGGCAGGAAACAACACCCTCCGTACCTGCAGCTCTCCCGAGCGTTATTCCCCACCCAGAAAAACCATCAGAACTTGGTGGCGGGCTGTCCTGTTGAGAAAGCAGCTGGAATCGAGGGAGGAAGTGTGGACGAGGTTGTCGGGCTACAGGAGGAAGCGAGGATGTCTCCCATCCCGGATCGGGTACATGCTTCGACGTCCCTCATTCCTTTCCTTGACGGCGACTGTAGAGAGCTTTCTCTCTCCATCCCAAAGCACATCACATCTTGACAATAGGAATGTCCTATCCAAAATCGACAGGTGCAGGTCGGAAATTCTCCATTATACAAGGTAGAGAGAATGTTGGGTGCAGGAGGTTTTGGGCTGGTCTACATTGGACGAAGGGTGGCTGGTGGATCTCAGGGCGATGGGCCCAATGCCTTTAAGGTTTAGTTTCAACCTCCCATCACTCCTGCCAAGGGAATCTTTAAATACTGCTGTTTTATGTTGTCTCTTTCATTTTCCTGCGGTGGGTGTAGGTAGCACTGAAGTTTGAGCATAGAAATAGCACGGGTTGCAGATTTGGCCCCCCATATGAATGGCAAGTTTATGAGTAAGAAGACACCCCCTACTGCTCTAATTTATTACGTATTGTGTCGATCTAAAACTACGTTCTTCATCTGACTTTGTGAATATGGTTTTAGCCATCTCAAGGGATGCTATGGATTGCCTAGGGTGCACTACAAGGGCCGCCAAGGAGATTATTTCATCATGGTTGGCGTAGAGTCTTTCATTTTATTGTTTCCTCGAATGATGTTTTTTATTGAAAGCTAATTATGATATTGTTGATGATGATTGCTGCAGATCATGGACATCCTTGGACCAAGTCTCCTGGATGTGTTCATATCCATTGGGCAAGTGTAAGAAAATAATCTTGACTTCATATTCAAAGTCAATATTCTGTTGAGAATTGTGCTATTGAGTTTGACTAACTCCTTGGACAGAATGCCACCAAATATGGTGGCTTGTATTGCTGTGGAGGCAATATCCATCCTTGAGAAGCTACACCAAAAAGGGTACGTATGGCTTTGTGGCAGTGTGATATTTTTTCAATTAAATTTTTGCAAAGGTCACAGTAATCAATTCATTGCTCCCTTGTGCACTCCCCTCCCTCCCTCCACCCACACAAAAAAAAAAACATGCCAGGTTTGTGCATGGAGACGTCAAGCCAGAGAATTTATTGTTGGGTAAACCCGGAAGCTCAGGGGAGAAGAAGCTTTTTCTCATCGACTTTGGGCTGGGTATGTTGCTGCATTCCAATCACTTCTTGTTTTCACCTTTCGCACCTATTGATTTTAGAGTAGGGTTTGTTTTTCCAAGTATATAAACAAATTCGTCTTGACTGAGAAGTCCCTGTCTGTATCAACATCAGTGATATTTTTGTGCTTTGTTCAGAGCCTGTACAAATGCTAATTGGTGTCATTAATATTTTAATCAGCTTCAATGTGGAGGGACAGTTTGTCAGGCCAGCATGTCAGCTTATGCCAACAGCCAGATAATTTCAGGTTTTTTGGGAAACGATATTCTATTTTTTCCCTAAATTCTTAGCTAAGAGGAGGATTCATAAAATCTTACCCCTACCTTACTATCTATCTCATGTTCCCTAGGGGCACAACACGATATGCAAGCGTCCATGCACATTTAGGCCTCACAGCGAGTAGAAGAGATGATCTTGAGTCATTGGCCTACACTCTGATTTTTTTGATTAAAGGAAGGCTGCCGTGGGAAGGCTATCAGGTTTGCTTTCACCTCTACTTGTACATGTTCTCCCATCTCTTTGATTGATCACTTGCTGATTCTTATGCCAACTATGTAGGGGAATGACAAGAGGTTTCTAGTCTTCATGAACAAGACTGTAACCTCCCCCGAGACGCTGTGTGGTGGCTGTCCCCCTCCTTTTGCACAATTCCTTGAAGCAGTGAAGAAGATACAATTTGTTGAGCAGCCCACCTACTCGAAGCTCATTTCTCTTTTTGGAAGCTTGATATGCCCCCCCTGCACCCTGTTAAAGACCATTCGGATTGATGCAATTTTGAAGGTGGTTGCAAACATGACATCACTGAAATTACCTCACATATTTTTATTTTATGTCAGATGGTTTTATCTCTTTTTCATGGCTCTATCATCTGTTGTTAAATAGGCTGACCATGTTTCCAACAGGTTCACCAAAAACGTGGAAGATTGCAGGTAAATAATGAAGAAGATGAGTGTCATAGAAAGAAACGGATAAAATGTTTGATTGATGACAGACCATGACCATGTACATGTAAGAATATAAATAAAATCTGTAAAGTGCCAATTGAGAAAACATAAATCTCATGACTAAATTATTTATTATTATTGTTATTATTTATTCATAAAGAAAACGATAGTTTAAAAGCCTCATATTAAGGGCATGAATATAATACTTTTTTAATGTAATCATAGCTATTGATAAAGGTGTGTAATTAATATTTATGCAAAAACAGAAACTATATCAATCAATGATAATAATACAAGACAATCATTTAGAGGGCGTGAGTATAAGTAGATATTTATATCATAGTTACTCTTGCTAGGAATATGTATCATTTATTGCCAACATTTAAACTTTAGAAATGTTTTGTACCTACTATCTATTCACCTTGGAAATGGCACCACTTTGGACGTAACCTATTGAGTACAGGAATATAATATGTTTAAGTACGTTCACACTTACAAATTATCAGAAATAATTATTAGACCGATAAATGTAAATTTTATGCATAAATAATGAATATTACTTTTTTATAAGAAAGCTGGCACATAAAAATACAGTATTAAAGGGAAGAAATCTAATATTATTTCATACAATCATAATGATTAGTTGCAATGAATAATTACTATAGTTTACCAAAATGAAAATTTTATCAGTAAATAAATGAACACTACAAGTATTGGATTAAATGGCACGAATTTGATAGTTTAGGTTATATTTATAATTACTAATCACTATGATTAAATATTATTTATTAGAATATGTAAAGTTATGAAGAAATAAGAATTATGTATTGGAAGCTTATGTGTCCACCAAAGGACACACATCCACCCCATAATGTGTTTAGAACCACATGTAGTCCAAAACTAAAAGTAATGTAATGTCGTAATTGGTTCCCATCATAGTATAAGTATGATTTCTTTAGTGATGATCTAAAAATTAAGAAGCATCTAGATTCATAGAAGATTGGGTAGATAAAGAGGAGTTTGAAATAAAAGTCACATAGCTATGCTTTGTAATGTTTTCAATTTGAAAAGCATATCTTGACAAAGTTAAATCTTATATGATTCACATGGGTGAATGTCATCGTATATACTTTTTATACATTGCACCCTCTAGATGTTTTCCTAAACTTGAAGCAAAATGTACCCATCGTCAAATCTTGATTCATTCCATTGATGAGTGGAAAATAAATTTCTTGTCTAAAGTAGGACTTTTAGTATAAGTAGGAAAGTTAATGTATTAACAAGTGTGCCGACCATCACATTTATGAGGATGATGAATTAATCATGGAAACTATTTATTGAAAAAAATTATTATCTATTTTGACTGTAGTCTAATGTAAAATTGTAATTAAGAGTTACATAATTCTATATGCGACCCCTATTAAATGTTTTTGAGCCAAATCTATATTGTATATAAATTTGTATATAGTTTTACACATATAAAATGAGATTTTTGCCTTTTTAAGAATACATGTACAATATTTTCAAGTAAATTGATAATATTTTCAAGTACAATATTTTTACCTTTATTATTTTTTAATATAATGTCTTTTTTTGTCATAATAGGAAACCACTGATAAGTTTTCATTATCATGACTTATTAATTAGTAAATAATATATTTTTAACCTTAACTCATGATAAATAGACTTATATTTCTATTAAATTATGAAAAATAGTTTTCAATTGATTAATGTGATTTTTTTAGCTAATTAGATAAGTTTTTTATGTATTTATATGATTTTTATAATCCTATTTTTTGAGATAAATCAAGAAAAAGAAATTAAAATAAAAATATAGCAAAAAGAGGGGACCTATCAGCCAACTAGGCCTGCAAGTAGATCAGAAGGGTAGTCAGGGGGAGCCGTGAGCAAGGGCTTGGGTGACTAGGACCAATGGAGCCATGTGTGCGCCACTCCCTTTCCACGTCACCGGTGGCCAGCCAAGACTGAGGCAAAGAGTGGTTGTACATGTGAGAGAAATATACTCATTACTTGTTGACGTGACTCAATCATTGTATATTAAATCACGCAAATCTAAAATTTATAAAACTAGAAAATATGAACTTTTAGATATTTAGAAGTATTTCTAAATAAATATATCAATTATAATTCAATAAAACTTTCATAAATAGCAATAATTTTACAGGTCAGGCACAGAGATATAATATAATATCTGGTATGTATTCATAATTTTTCTCAATGAATATGATTTTCTATAAATTTTATACTAAGAAATAAAAAGAAAATATATTTAAAATTCACAAAAAAGGAAATAAGGGTGCGGATGTCAAGATGACATCAGCGCCCTGCGAATGCGAATCGGGCAGAAATAGAATTCCGCCCAAAAATTCTTATGTAAGTGATTATAGATGATTTAATTAATCAAATTAAGATCTGTAAAAGCCAAAAGAATCATAATAGAATGAAGTATATTTTGGTAAATTAAAATAGCAAAAATTATCACTAATTTTTAATGAAGCGTAAAGTAAGTTGAAAGTAAGAAAACAAAGTTCCGACGTCACGACAACGATGCATCGACGATACACTGGAATCTTGAGCATTGGGGAGGATCGTCGTGTAATGTCCACACCCTCGAAAGCTCTCCTTGGACAAAGACAATGTGGGCAATCTCTAAATCTCCTTGTGAAGTCTAGAGATCAATGAAGTAGGTTGTCGAATCGTCTCCGACAGGTGTCACCCGGTGAAGTAGAAAAATAACAACTTTGTGGCTCTCTAGTGACTATCACTCGACAGAGAGGAGCTAGATGGAGGTGGGGCACATGTTAGGGAGCTTCATCCTCAGGTCTGCATAGCAAGAGGAGGCTTTTCATCGCATCTGGTATGCTCTCAAGAAGTGGCCACTCGTCTCCCAACAGATCGTCCTCTTCCCAACGACGGCTTGTTCGTCAATCAATCAGAGATACTTTACTTGATAGATTTGCAATCTTTTTATCGTGAATCGTTCAATAGTTTTGGTAACAATACTCCGCAAATGTTGATGAGATTTTCACTAATGATCTAGCGATTCTGGTTGCTGAATCCTTCACCAGCGATCTACAAGAAAGTCGTGATAATCAGATTAAAAAAATACGAGTTTTGGCTCTAGGAGGATTCGAACCCGCGCTGGTTGCCCGCCCCCCTTCTGAGGAAGGTGTGACACGGGTTTAGTCCCACATCGATTGTGCACTGAATTTTCGGGCGAATATATAGTAATGTTAGATTTCTAAGCAAAGTCTCTTCTCTCACATGTACGACCACTCCTTACCCCATAGCCGATTGGCCACCGGTGATGTGGAAGGGGAGTGGCACACACGTGCCCCTATCTATCCAAGCCGCTCAAGCCCTTGCTTGCGACTACTCCCTGACTATGCTTCCGACCCGCTTGCAGGCCCAGTTGGCTGGTAGATCCCCCTCATTTTGTCTTATTTTTATTTATTTATTTATTTTTCATCATTTATCTCAAAAGTAAGATTGTAAAAATCATATAATTTCATGTAAAATCACATAATTACCTAAAAATTCACATTAATTAACTGAAAACCACTTTTCATAATTTAACGCAAATATAAGTCTATTTATTATGAGTTAAGGTTAAAACTATATTATTTACTAATTATTAACTCATGATAGTGAAGACTTATCACTTGTAAATGTGATATTACTATATATTCGCCTAAAACTTTGGCACACAAGCAATGTGGGACTAAACCCACATCACACCTTCCCTTGAAAGACTTTGAAGGTTTTAAGACCTAAATTACTCCTTAGTTATAATAGAGATATACTATGACGATGTCACTTGATAAGGGTATTAGAGTATTTATTTTAATCTCTCTCATGTAGGCGGGCAATCAGCACGGGTTCGAATCTTCCTAAAGCCCAATGAAAGATTATCTCGACTTTCTTATAGATCACTAGTGAAGGATTAAGCCACTAAAATTATTAGATCATTGGTAAAAAAAATTCAACGCAATTCGCAAAGCATTGTTACTAAAATTGCTAAAAAACAATTCACGATAAAAGGATCATGAATCCATCGAGTAAATCATCTTTGATTGATCGATGAACAAGTTGTCATCGAGAAGAGGACAATCTATCAAGAGACGAGTTGCCACCTCCTGTGAGCATACTAGATGCGATGAAGTGCCTCCTCTTGCTGCATAGACATGAGGAGGAAGCTCTTTAACACACGCCCCACCTCCATCTAACTCTTCTACGTCGGGTGACAACTGCTAGAGAGTCACAAAGTCATCATTTTTTCATTTCACTGAGTGACAGCTGTCGGAGATAATTTGACGACCTATTTTATTGATCTTTATATTTCACAAGGATATCTAGAGATTGCCCACGTCGTCCTTGTCAAAAAAGAGCCTTTGAGGCCGTAGACACTGCACAACAATCTTCTTGACTGCTCAAACTTCTCGTACATCATCGACACATTGTTGCCGTGATGTTAGAACTTTATTTTTCTACTTTCAACTTAATTTCTAATTCATTTAGTGACAATTTGTGTGATTTAAATTTACTAAACTATATTTGATTCAATTACGATTCTTCCACCTTTTACAGATCTTAATTTGATCAATTAGATCGTCTGTAATTGCTTACACAAAATTTGCTAGACAAAACTCTATTTCTATTTGATTCACATTCGTCAGGCGCTGACATCATCCTAACATCCATACCCTTATTTTCTTTTTTCACAAATTTAAGTATATTTTATTTTCATTTCTCATAAAAAAATTATATTCTTTGAGAAAAATATTAAAAAGTTACCCAATATTATATTACATCTCTATGATCGACTTGGAAAATTACCACTAATTTTGTAAATTTGATTGAATTATAATTGATATATTTGTTTAGAAATACTTCTAAATATCTAAAAATTAATATTTTCTAGTTTTATAATTTTTAAATTTACGTGATTTTTATTTTTTATTTTTTATTTTTTAAAATTTACGTGATTTACAATACAACAACTAAGTCATGTCAAAAGGTTTGTCAACTTCCTATGGAGATCGAACATAGCCTATTAGGTTATAAAGAATCTTAATCTCTCTTTAGACGCCATAGGTAAGCACCATATGTTGCAGTTGCAAGAGCTTCAAGAACTACCCAATGAGATGTACGAGAATTCTGTGATTTACAAAGCAAAAATGATGGCTTTTTATCACAAGAAGGTTAGCAAAAAGAGTTTTCATGAGCATCAAAAAGTTTGGCTTTACAATTCTAGATTGAAACTATTCCTCGAGAAATTAAAATCTAGATGGGATGGACCATACCTTGTGATTAAAGTTTTTGACTGTGGTGCAGTATTAATTACAGATCTGAAAATTGGTAAAATTTTTAATGTGAATGGGCAAAGATTAAAACCTTATTTAGAAAATGAACCCTCCTTCTTTACCCATTTCCACTCAATTATATGATCCATCCATTGAACCTCAATCTTCTTAGAACTTCCCCTCCATCATGTACTCTAAGATGGCATAGCTTTCTTTTCCACTACATTCCTTTTTTATTATTTTTCTCTATCCTTTGATATTTTTCTGGAGTTTTTATTAAGCAAACAGATCTAGCGTTCTAGAAGAAGTGCATATCATGACATAGATTAATACAAAAGAAAATCAGAAGGATGAAGAGTGAAAATCAATTTGCACATTTAATGCTTTCTCCTTTTTCTCTTAAATAGATGCATTGAGGACAATGCGAATGGTTGTTTGGGGGGGAAGAATAAATGCATGAGGGTGAATACATGAGATTACATCAGGTGCTATAATGCTTATAACTAAATGATGAAGTTCATCATCTTTCATGGTGCATATAACCCACTCTTAAATTGAGAAAATCTAGTTTGATCTTTTGCTGGATTTATGTTATGAATTCTTATTATTAACTATGAGTAGTAAATTGAATCTTTCTCTTTCTTGATTAGTAGTCAGTCAAAAAGTTTTCAAATTAGTTGATGCTTTTACAAATCATTAATCATGATTAAACTTGAGACAAAAGGATAGAACATGGTAAAGATTACTTTAGAGAAAATAAAATAAAAATCGTAGTAGCACCTTAGCTGATTTCGTGGGGCTTCCACATGCAAAATTAGGATCAACAAGGCTTGTTAAATACTTATTGTAACGATTCTTCTAGCTTTTACAGATCTTAATTTGACTAATTAAATCATCTATAATCACTTATCTAAAAATCACTAGGTAGAACTCTATTTCTGCCTGGTTTGCATTCATTAGGTGCTGACATCATTTTGACATCTACACATTTATTTCCCTTTTTCAGAAATTTGAAATATATTTTCTTTTCTTTTTTAATTTAAAATTCATAAAAAATCGTATTCTTTGAGAACATTTCTGAAATATTACCTGACATTATATTACATCCATGTGATTCACCTAGAAAATTTCTACTATTTTTAGACCTTTCATTAAACTATAATTGATATAATTATTCAAAAATACTTTTAAATATCTAAAAATTAGTGTTTTCTAGTTTTATAAATTTTAAATTTCTATGGTTTACTAAATAAGGGATATTAAAATTATTAAAACTTTTCGAAGGCTGTGACCCCAGGTTTAGTCCCACATTGATTATATGTCGAGTTCTGAGGTTGATATATAGTAATACTACACTTGATAATAAATGTGTCCCTTTCTCACATGTGTACGGCTACTCTTTATCACATGCCCGACTAGCCATTGATGATGTGGAAGGCGAGTGATGCACATGTGCCCCTTATTAGTCCATCTTTAGTCGCTCATGCCCTTACTCACGATTCCGCCTGTCAATGCTTCCAACCTATTTATGGGCTCGACTAGGTGGCATGTTTTCTCTTTCTTCTATCTTTTTATTTTATTTCTCTTTATTTAACTCAAAAATAAGATTATAAAAATTATATAAATTCACATAAAATCCCATAATTAGCAAAATTAACTAACTAAAAACTATTTTTCATAATTTGACGTAAATATAAGTCTATTTATCATGAGTTTAGATTAAAACTATATTATTAATTAATTATTAACTCATGATAATGAAGACTTATCAACCATCTTCACTAAAGCATGTATTTTTTGATTAACATCAAACTTATCCAATGATTATATCATCGTATTTGTCTAAGGATCAAGAGAATAGATTACTTGATGTACTTAGGACATAGAGAGAGGTGATTGGTTGGTCTCTAGCAGATATTTGAGAACTTGATCTATTTGTGTGTATGCACATATTTTATCGTGAGGAGAACTATCATTTCTTTTTATGCATTTCCTTACTAGCTTTTGTTTCAGACATATTTTATTGGTCGAGTGCTTTAGTTAGAACTATTCAAGGACAATAGTGTAGTAGATGGGGCATAAAAATCAGAATTTTCTTCTCTTTTCCCTTCTCTCACATGCATTAAGGACAATGCAAGACTCAAGTAGAGGGGAGGTGATGTGACTTAGTCGTTGTATATTAAATCATGCAAATATAAAATTTATAAAACTAGAAAATACAAATTTTCGAATATTTAGAAGTATTTCTGAATAAATATATCAATTATAATTCAATAAAACTTCCTAAATAACGATAATTTTCCATGTCGATCACAAGGATGTAATATAATATCTCGTAATTATTTAGAATTTTTCTCAATGAATATGATTTTCTATGAATTTTATACTAGGAAATGAAAAGAAAATATATTTAAAATTCACAAAAAAAAGGGAAATAAGGGTGTCGATGTCGGGATGATGTCAGCACCCGACGAACATGAATTAGGCAAAAATAGAGTTCCACCTGATGATTCTTACGTAAGCGATTATAGACGATTTAATTAATCAAATTAAGATCTGTAAAAGCTCAAAGAATCATAATTGAACAAAGTATATTTTGATAACTTAAAAACACAAAAATTATCACTAAATGAAGCATAAAGTAAATTGAAAGCAAGAAAACAGAGTTCTGGCGTCGCGACAGCGATGTGTCGGTGATGCACCGGAATCCTGAGTGTTTGGGAGGATCGTCATACAGTGTCTATAGCCTCGAAGGCTCTCCTTGGACAAAGACAACGTGGGCAATCTCTAGATTTTCTCGTGAAGTCTAGAGATTAATGAAATGGGTCATTGAGTCGTCTCTAGTGGCTGTCACTCGGCGGAGTGGAAAAATGGTAACTTTACAGCTCTCCGGCAGGTGTCACTCGACGGAGAGGAGCTGAATGGAGGTGGGGCATGTGTCACAGAGCTTCATCCTTAGGTCCGTGCAGCAAGAGGAGGCTCTTCATCGCATCTGGTACACTCTCAGGAGGTGGCGACTTGTCTCTCGACGGATTGTCCTCTTCTTGACGACGGCTTGTTTGTTGATTAATCGGGGATGATTTACTTGATGGATTCGCAATCCTTTTATCGCGAATCCTTCAGCAATTTTAGTAGCAATGCTCTGCGAGTCGCATTGATGAGATTTTTGCCGATGATCTAGTGATTCTCGTTACTTAATCCTTCACCAGCGATCTGCAGAAAAGTCACAATAATTAGATAAAAATATATGACTTTTGACTCTAGAAGAACTCGAACCTATGTCAGTCGCCCGCCTCTTCTGAGGAAGGTGTGACGCGGGTTTAGTCCCACATCAGCTGTGTGCTAATTTTTTAAGTGAATATATAGTAATGTTAGCTTTCTAAGCAAAGTCCCTTCTCTCGCGTGTACAACCACTCCTTGCCCCACAGCCGGCTGGCCACTAGTGATGTGAAAGGGGAGTGGCACACACATGCCCCCATCGGTTCAAGTCGTTCGATCCCTTGCTCGCGGCTACTCCCTGACTGTGCTTCTAACCTGCTTGTGGGCCCAACTGGCCAGCGGGTCCCACCATTTTATAATATTTTTATTTTTATTTCTTGTTCTTCATTTATCTCAAAAGTAAGACTGTAAAAATTATATAAAATCACATAATTACCCAAAAATTCACGTTAATCAATTGAAAACCTCTTTTCACACTTTAACACAAATATAAGTCTATTTATCATGAGTTAAGGCTAAATCTATATTATTTACTAATTATTAACTCATAATAATGAAGACTTATCACACCCCCAACTTAAATCATTGCTAGTCCCTTAGCAATGGAATTACGAAAATAAAATTTTACAAATCTCAAATATCATATTTCAATATAGGAAAAAAAAAAGTATATAATTAGAAATGATGCACCTTTAAATACTTTGGATTCTTATATCAAGTATTTAAGAATGATGTCAAGCACTTAAATGTTTAAACACTCTTTGGAATAACAATCTAGACTTCACTTCTTCTATTCACATCTTTATCACTTCTTCACTCATAGATATATTTACAAGATGTTTCAATTATCAATACTCATTCAAGAATAATATTGATCCTACATATTCCTCAAAAAAGGCTTGATCTCTCGAATTTTCACTTAAATTCTCATAAAGACTGTAAATCTCATTAGGGGTTTTCTTCATAAAAGCTCTTACACATATAGAATCAACCATATTTCTATATTATTCTAATAATCCATCATAAAAAATTCTATTGAGCTGCCACTTGGGTATAGCATGATGAGGACACTTTCTAAGTAAATCTTTGAATGTTTCCCATGTTTCATGTAAAGTTTCTCCTGATCTTTGAGGAAAACTCCATATATGTTTTCTCATATTTTGAGTTTTTCTTAAGGAATAAATTTTTTGAAGAAAAGCCTATTCATCTTAATAATTTATGGTGTAACTTGAGGGAGATTAACTAAATCACAGACCATATGAAATTTTTCTAAGTGCTGATGAGGTTTCTCTAAAGGCAATCCATGAAAATTAGGGAGTATTTGAAAAATTCCTAGATTTATTTCGAATTTAAAAGTGGGTGCTAATGGGACTCTAATATTTGATGCTCTTTGAAATGAATCAAGGATATAATGATTTTTCATGACCATAGGATTGTTCTCAATTTGACATGTACTTCCTTTAGGATCTATCAAAATTAGTTTTTCTTTTCGATTTTTATTTTTGAATGAAATAATAGAAGGATTTTCTAGTCTTGGATGCAAGGATCTTCTACCATGCATAAAAAAATCAATAAATTCAAGGGAAAAGTTTAGTAATTGTTACCCTCCTTTAGTATGCTCTGGTCCTTGCTTTGTTTCTCTTCGTTCCCTTTTTTTTAAAAAAAATTAGCAAAAAGAAAATAAAATAAGAGTTAAATTTTTTTGTGTACTCTAAGAGAAAAATAGAAAAATACTAAATATTATGCAATACATCCCTAGCAATGGTGTCAAAATTTGACGTGACTTAGTCATCGTATTGTAAATCACGTAAATTTAAAATTTATAAAACTAGAAAATACGAATTTTCAGATATTTAGAAGTATTTTTGAATAAATATATCAAGTATAATTTAATAAAACTTCCTAAAATAGTGTAATTTTCTAGGTCGATCAAAGGGATGTAATATAATATCTGGTAATTATTCAAAATTGACCTCAAAGAATACTATTTTCTATAAATTTTATACTAGTAAATGAAAAGAAAATATATTTAAAATTCACAAAAAAAAGAAATAGGGGTGTAGACGTCAAGATGATATCAGCGCTTGAGGAATGCAAATCGAGCGAAAATAAAGTTCTGCTCGGTGATTCTTTACATAAGCGATTACAGACAATTTAATTGATCAAGTTAAGATCTAGAAAAGCTGGAAGAATCGTAATGAAATGAAGTATATCTTTGTAAATTTAAAATCAATAAATTATCACTAACTGAAAGGAAAATTAAGTTGAAAGTAGGAAAACAGAGTTTCGACATCACAACGGTGATGCGTCAGTGATGCACTAGAATCTTGAGCATTCTAGAAGATCTTTGTGTAGTGTCCATGGCCTTGAAGGTTCTCCTTGGACAAAGACGATGTGGGCAATCTCTAGATCTCCTTGCAAAGTCTAGAGATCAATAAAATGGCTTGTCGAATCGTCTCTGGTGGCTGCCACCTGACGGAGCAAAAAAACAGCAACTTTGCGACTCTCTAGTGGTTGTCACTCGACAGAGAGGAGCTGGATGGAGGTGGGGCGCATGTCAAGAAGCTTCATCCTTAGATCCGCACAACAAGAGGAGACTCTTCATCGCATTTGGTATGCTCTTAGGAGGTGGTGACTTGTCTCCCAACAGATCGTCCTCTTCCTGATAATAGCTTGTTCGTCGATCAATCAAAGATGAGTTACTCGATAGATTCACGATCTTATTATCGTGAATCGTTCAACAATTTTAGTAACAATACTCTACGAATTGCATTGATGAGATTTTTGCCAATGATCTAGTGATTTTGGTTGCTTAATCCTTCATCGGTGATCTGTAGGAAAGTCACGATAAACAAATAAACAAAATATGAATTTTGGCACTGGGAGGATTCAAACTTGCACTGATTGCCCCCTCGCCCTTTCTAGGGAGGTGTGACGGGGGTTAAAAAAGTCCCACATCAATTGTGTGCTAAAATTTCTTGTGAATATATAGTAATACTATATTTTCGATCAAGTCCTTTTCTCACACGTGTATGACCACTCCTTGCCTCACAGTCGGCTGGCCACCGGTGACATGAAAGGGGGGTGGCGCACATGTGCCCAATTGGTCCAAGCCACTCGAACCCCTACTGATGGCTACTCCCCAACTGCACTTCTGACTTACTTGCGGGCCTAGAAGGTTCCCCCATTTTGTCTTATTTTTATTTTAATTTCTTTTTCTTTATTTATCTCAAAAGTAAGACTATAAAAATCATATAAAATTATATAAAATCACATAATTACCTAACAATTCATGTTAATCAACTAAAAATAACTTTTCACACTTTAACACAAATATAAGTCTATTTATCATGAGTTAAGACTAAAACCATATTATTTACTAATTATTAACTCATGATAATGAAGACTTATCAATTATCAAGTCTAGTATTACTATATATCAACCTCAAAACTCAGCATATAACCAATGTGGGACTAAACCAAGGGTCATAGCCTCCAAAAAGTTTTAATAATTTTAATACCTAAAATATCCCTTGTTTAGTAAACCACACAAATTTTAAATTTATAAAACTAGAAAATACTAATTTTTAGATATTTAGAAGTATTTTTGAATAATTATATTAATTATATTTTAATCAAAGGTCTAAAAATAGTGAAAATTTTCTAGGCCAATCATAGGAATCTAATATAATATCAAGTAATATTTCATAAATGTTCTCAAAGAATACAATTTTTTATGAATTTTAAACTAAAAAAAGAAAATAAAATATATTTAAAATTTGTGAAAAAAGAAAATAAAGGTGTAGATGTCAAGATGATGTTAGCACCTAATGAATGCAAACCAAGTAGAAATAGAAAACTACCTGGTGATTTTTACATAAGCGATTATAGACAATTTTGTTAGCCAAATTAAGATCTGTAAAAGCTAGAAGAATCGTTACAAGAAGTATTTTGTAAGCCTTGTTGATCCTAATTTCACATGTGGAAGCCCCACGAAATCAGCTAAGGTGCTACTACAATTTTATTTTATTTTTTCTAGTGTAATCTTTACCATGTTTTATTCTTTTGTCTCAAGTTTAATGATGATTAATGATTTGTAAAAGCATCAAATAATTTGAAATTTTTTTGACTGAGTATTGATCAAGAAAGAGAAAGATTCAATTTACTACTCATAGTTAATAATAAGAATTCATAACATAAATCCGGCAGAAGACCAAAGTAGATTTTCTCAATTTAAGAGTGTGGGTTATATGCACCATGAAAGATGATGAACTTCATGATTTAGTTATAAGCACTATAGCACCTGATGTAATCTCATGTATTCACCCTCATGCATTTATTCTTCCCCCCCAAATGACCATTCGCATTGTCCTCAATATATCTATATAAGAGAAAAAGGAGAAAGCATTAAATGTGCAAACTGATTTTCACTCTTCATCCTTCTGATTTTCTTTTGTATTAATCTGTGTCATGATATGCAATTCCTCTAGAATGCTTGATCTGTTCACTTAATAAAAACTCAAGAAAAATATCAAAGGATAGAGAAAAATAATAAAAATGGAATGTAGTGGAAAAGAAAGCTATGCCATCTTAGAGTACATGATGGAGAGAAAGTTCTAAGAAGATTGAGGTTCAATGGATGGATCATATAATTGAGTGGAAATGGGTAGAGAAGGAGGGTTCATTTTCTAAATAAGGTTTTAATCTTTGCCCATTCACATTAAAATTTTTACTAGTTTTCAGATCTGCAATTAATACTGCACCATAGTCAAAAACTTTAATCACAAGGTATGGTCCATCCCATCTAGATTTTAATTTCTCGAGGAATAGTTTCAATCGAGAATTGTAAAGCCAAACTTTTTGATGCTCATGAAAACTCTTTCTGCTCTCCTTCTTGTTATAAAAAGCCTTCATTTTTACTTTGTAAATTAGAGACTTCTCGTACATCTCATTGGGTAGTTCTTGAAGCTCTTGCAATTGCAACATATGGTGCTTACCTATGGCATCTAAAGAAAGATTAAGATTCTTTATAACTTAATAAGCCTTATGTTTGATCTCCATAGGAAGGTGAAAAACCATTTGACGTGACTTAGTTGTTGTATTATAAATCACGTAAATTTAAAAATTATAAAACTAGAAAATACTAATTTTTAGATATTTAGAAGTATTTATAAACAAATATATTAATTATAATTCAATTAAGTTTACAAAAATAGTGGTAATTTTTTAAGTCGATCACAGAGATGTAATATAATATTGGGTAACTTTTTAGTATTTTTCTCAAAGAATATAATTTTTTTATGAATTTTATACTGAGAAATGAAAATAAAATATACTTCAATTCGTGAAAAAAGGAAATAAGGGTGCGGATGTTAGGATGACGTTAGTGCCTGACAAACGCGAATCAAACAGGAACAAAGTTCTGCCTAGTGATTCTTGTGTAAGCGATTACAAATGATCTAATTAATCAAATTAAGACCTGTAAAAGGTAGAAAAATCGTAATTGAATCAAATATAGCTTGGTAAATTTAAATCACACAAAGTATCACTAAATGAAGTAAAAGTTAAGTTGAAAGTAGAAAAATAAAATTCCAACGTCACGGTAATAATGTGTCGATGATGCACGAGAATTTTGAGTATTCGGGAAGATTGTCGTGTAGTGTCCAGAGCCTCAAAGGCTCTCCTTGAACAAGGACGATGTGGGCAATCTCTAGATATCTATGCAAAGTTTAGAGATCAATGAAATGGATCATCAAATTATCTCCGACAACCGTCACTTAGCAGAGCAAAAAAATGAAGACTTTGTGACTCTCTAGTGGCTGTCACCTGATGGAGAAGAGCTAGATGGAGGTGGGACGCATGTTAAGGAGCTTCATCCTCAGGTCTGTGTAGTAAGAGGAGATTTTTCATCGCATCTAGTATGCTCTCAGGAGGTGATGACTCATCTCACGACAGATTGTCCTCTTCTCGATGACAGCTTGTTCATCGATCAATCAGAGATGATTTACTCAATAGATTCATGATCCTTTTATCGCGAATCGTTTTCAGCAATTTTAGTAATAATGCTTTGTGAATTGTGTTGACAAGATTTTTGTCAATGACCTAACAATTTTAATGGCTTAATCCTTCACTGGTGATCTATAGGAAAGTCGAGATAATCTTTCATTGGGCTCTAGGAGGATTCAAACCCGTGCTGATTGTCCACCTATATAAGAGAGATTGAAATAAGTACTCTAATGCCCTTATCAAGTGACGTCCTCATAGTATATCTCTATTATAATTAAGGAGTAATTTAGGTATTAAAATCGTCAAAGCCTTTCAAGGAAAGGTGTGATGTGGGTTTAGTCCCACATCACTTGTGCGCCAATGTTTTAAGCAAATATATAGTAATATCACATTTACAAGTAATGAGTACTTTTCTCTCACATGTACAACCACTCCTTACATAAGACTTGGCTGGCCACCAGCGACGTGGAAGGGGAGTGGTGCACACATGCCTCCATTGGTCCTAGTCACCCAAGCCCTTGCTCGTGGCTCCCCCCGACTACACTTCTAATCTACTTATAGGCCTGGTTGGTTGACGGGTCCCCTCTTTTTTGCTATATTTTTTTTTAATTTCTTTTTCTTGATTTATCTCAAAAAATAGGATTATAAAAATCATATAAATGCATAAAAAATTATCTAATTAGCTAAAAAAATTACATTAATCAATTGAAAACTATTTTTCATAATTTAAAAAAAATATAAGTCTATTTATCATGAGTTATTTACTAATTATTAACTCATGATAATGAAAACTTATCAGTGGTTTTCTATTATGACAAAAAAAGGCATTATATTAACAAATAATAAAGGTAAAAATATTGTACTTGAAAATATTATCAATTTACTTGAAAATATTGAACGTGTACTCTTAAAAAGGCAAAAATCTCATTTTATATGTGTAAAACTATATACAAATTTATATACAATATAGATTTGGCTCAAAAACATTTAATAGGGGTCGCATATAGAATTATGTAACTCTTAATTACAATTGTACATTAGACTACAGTCAAAATAGATAATAATTTGTTTCAATAAATACTTTCCATGATTAATTCATTATCCTCATAAATGTGATGGTCGGCACACTTGTTAATACAATAACTTCCTACTTATGCTTAAAGTCTTAGTTTAGACAAGAAATTTATTTTCCACTCATCAATAGAATGAATCAAGATTTGACGATGGGTACATTTTTCTTCAAGTTTAGGAAAACATCTAGAGGGTGCAATGTATAAAAAGTATATACGATGACATTCATTCATGTGAATCATATAAGATTTAACTTTGTCAAGATATGCTTTTCAAATTGAAAACATTACAAAGCATAACTATGTGACTTTTATTTCAAACTCCTCTTTATATACCCAATCTTCTATGAATCTAGATGCTTCTTAATTTTTAGATCATCACTAAAGAAATCATACTTTTACTATGATGGGAACCAATTATGACATTACATTACTTTCAGTTTTGGACTACATGTGGTTCTAAACACATTATGGGGTGGATGTGTGTCCTTTGGTGGACACATAAGCTTCCAATACATAATTCTTATTTCTTCATAACTTTACATATTCTAATAAATAATTTTAATCATAGTGATTAGTAATTATAAATATAACCTAAACTATCAAATTCGTGCCATTTAATCCAATACTTGTAGTGTTCATTTATTTACTGATAAAATTTTCATTTTGGTAAACTATAGTAATTATTCATTGCAACTAATCATTATGATTGTATGAAATAATATTAGATTTCTTCCCTTTAATACTGTATTTTTATGTGCCAGCTTTCTTATAAAAAAGTAATATTCATTATTTATGCATAAAATTTACATTTATCGGTCTAATAATTATTTCTGATAATTTGTAAGTGTGAACGTACTTAAACATATTATATTCCTGTACTCAATAGGTTACGTCCAAAGTGGTGCCATTTCCAAGGTGAATAGATAGTAGGTACAAAACATTTCTAAAGTTTAAATGTTGGCAATAAATGATACATATTCCTAGCAAGAGTAACTGTGATATTATACTACTTATACTCACGCCCTCTAAATGGTTGTCTTGTATTATTATCATTGATTGATATAGTTTCTGTTTTTGCATAAATATTAATTACACACCTTTATCAATAGCTATGATTACATTAAAAAAGTATTATATTCATGCCCTTAATATCAGGCTTTTAAACTATCATTTTCTTTATGAATAAATAAGAACAATAATAATAAATAATTTAGTCATGAGATTTATGTTTTCTCAATTGGCACTTTACAGATTTTATTTATATTCTTACATGTACATGGTCATGGTCTGTCATCAATCAAACATTTTATCCGTTTCTTTCTATGACACTCATCTTCTTCATTATTTACCTGCAATCTTCCACGTTTTTGGTGAACCTGTTGGAAACATGGTCAGCCTATTTAACAACAGATG